CCTTGAAATGACGTGTTGTGAATTGGAGCTATAGAAATAAACTGAGTTGAATTGAATAAGCAGATGTCCTCTGGCGTTGGTTGGAAGGTCGACCCATCCAAGGACTCACAGACCTCACTTCCTGTCTCTGTCCCTAAATCTTTCACACTTTGCTTTGCTTCTCATTTTATTTCCCTCCACTGCCCCAAAACTGCCATTTCACTTCAAACAAAACTGAAAAAAAATGGTCCTCAGAAATGATCTGAGTGTTACATCTACTAGGAAGTGCCATTTTTGTTCCATGACTAAGTGACACATTGCGAGAAGGAAGTTTCCTCCCTGCTGTTTGACCACATCCTCCATCAGAGGAGGGGGGGGTTGCTCTGCTGTGGTTCAGCCATTCTCACTAAAAACAAACCATGACTCGTCTGACATCTTCATGTTCAGAAATGTACATACACCTTTGCTATGGTGGACAAGAGGTGCAAACGTGCTACAAATATAAAAGGTACTGGCAACACAAAAATGAGACAAATCAAACAGAAAAGAAGCAAAAACATGATGCTAGCAAACAGAAATTAGGTTCACATTAATTATACAACAGCAGTTTCTAGCCATGCCATTGAGGTTTTTGTTTTGGTTTTATCAACCTATAAGCCATCATTTCCAAATAAATTCTCTAAAAAACCCACAATGTGATTTCCTGGATTTGTCTCTATGATGAAAACTACAGATATCTCTCATTTTTCTAAGTAGGAGAACTTTCACAATGAGCGGCTGACAATACTTTTTGGCCCCACTGTATGTCAATGGAATAAGACATTTGACATGAAAATAACGACTTCATAATATGTGATCATTTTCCTTTCAGGGTAAAGTGCTGCTTCAGTTGACCTGCTCAAATTTAGGCCAAATACGACTTGCACAGTCATGAGCCGACTAGTAATGAAGCTGCAGGATCTGTAAGCATTGGAGGCTTTAAACCTGAAGCATGTTTATTTTTGAGTTATTTGCATTATAAGTGAAACAGGATGACAAAGAAACAGGAACGATAATAACAGCAAAGAAAAAAAGAAGAAAAAGGTGAAAACCTGGTCCCACCCACATCCTGCAATGTAAGCACACTGAGTCTGTTTACATGCAGCTAAAAAGACTACGGTAGTTATC